CATATGAAGAGTTCAGATGCAAAAGCCTCTAAGTGCCATCTGAAAATTTCTTCTAAAATTAGCATTTTTATCAGGCTCATATGTTTATGTTCATTTATTTTACTTTAATGGCATAGAAAAGGACCTATACATTGCCATTAAAGTGCAATTTCTAAACATAAACATAGGAGCCTGATAAAAAAATGCTAATTTTAGAAGAAATTTTCAGATGGCACTTAGAGGCTTTACTCCAGTCTTCAGTGTCACATGATCCTTTAAAAATCATTTATATTGCTGATTTGCTGCTCAAGACACATTTCTTATTATTATCAATGTTGAAAATGTTATTTTTATGGAAACGGCGATACTTTTCAGGATTTTTTGGATTAATAGAAAATTCAAAAGAACAGCATTTATTTGAAATATAAATCTTTTGTAACATTATAAATGTGTTTACTGTCACTTTTGATCAAATTATTACATCCTTGCTATAAAAAAGTATTAATTTCACTGAAAAAAAAAAAAAAAATCTTACTGACCCCAAACTTTTGAACGGTAATGTGTGTGTGTGTGTGTGTGTGTATATATATTTAAACTATAGTTTGATGCAGATAATCCTGAGTAAATGAGATTCCCCACATGTTTGCCAAACCCCCAAATGTCAAGTAAAATCAAGCAAAGTGAGTTTGGTAATTTAAAATGTCAGTCAGACGGCCTCTTCATATATGAATGAATGGTTCTTGGCCAGAATAAGCTATAATATGCTACAGATTTACTGCTGATAGTCAAAACCTTGGCTTGTGAACAGTCTAATAAGAGCGACATTATAGACTGCTACAGAAGAGAGTATGTACTGGCTCTCATAACCTGCCGCTATGCAAGAATCATTTCTGGTATTGCAAAAAGAATTGACAGTCTAGTGTGCCAGTGAGAACCAGCCCAGTTTCAGCAAAATAAAAACCATTTCCAGTTCACTTTTAGTCCAAATTAAGCTGCCTTTATGATAAGAAACTAAAAAGGATGAACTGAATTTAAAGGGACCTAAGGCGAGAAACGTTGGGAGAACTGTTGCTGAACCTGGATTTGTGCCATATCTCTTTACGGGACGTTTAGGAACAGCAGAGCTCGTCAAGAACACACTGTGGCTGTGTCTTACCCAAACCAGATGAGTCTTGAGCCTTAAAATCTATATTTGGTTTAGCTTTAGGTGAGCCGCAGTGCACTGGCATAGACTGTGGTTTTCAAACGCCCCGCCGGGGGAATGATGAACTGGATTTGCCCCTTTTCCCTCTAACCTCTCTCTATCCATCACCTCTGGCTGAACAAAACACAACGTCAGATGACAGAGGCCAGAGCAGAGCAGAGCAATGCTAATGCCTTTAACCTTTAAAGTACAACCTGTAACTGTTGTAAACCACAGGCTGCTATAGTCCAAAAACAGCTTCAGATGATAAATCCAATTGTACAATTAGGCTCCCCTAGGTAAAAAAAAAAAAAGAAAAAAAAAAAATAAAAAGAAAAAAAAAAAAAACCTTGGTGCCCCCTTGGTAGTTGGTGCCCTACACAGTTTGCTTATTTATTTTATTTATTTTTGCAGCTTTTTCAAATGACTTGAACTGAACAAACACAATTCTTGAACATTTTGTCACAACTTAATTTCATTATGTCTTAACTGTATTATGTTTAAGCTAACTTAATCATTCTTTGTTGAGACTACATGAATCATTTTGTTGACCTACAGTAACTAACTGGGCAGTAGATTTGTAGTTCCCAGCATGCTTTGGATGGGACTGCATTCAGAGAGTAAATGTTGAAATTACAGTTTTTAAAAATTGCTTAGACACTAAAAGTGGTACTTGAGGCACACTCAGTGAAACCATTCACTCATATACCTAATCTTTAGACCAAGTCTGCAAAACTACAATCACAGTACGTGCTTTAAACTCAGTTTGCTATTGTAAAACAAACTTTTTGCAAAATTACAAACATCATTCAAAACCAACAGCTCTTTTGTTTCATTTGGGAAACACTGCCATTTAAATGCCACACTCATTTACAGATAACCTACACCCAGTGATCATGTGTGGAAACACTTAAACATTATTTGTTCACTTAGAAATCAAAACTCAGTGTGATGGTCTTTACACTCTTTGGTCTTCACACAAGGAGGCCGTCACGCGACGGCTGCCGTGGTAAACTAAGCTTTTTTTATACCCGTCTGACAAAATACTAAATTAATTCAGCTGGATACACTTTCCTTATTTTTTCCACAACAAATGGCCAAGCAAGCGCAGACACTGACAAGATACGCGATACAGAACGAGACCAAACGCGATATCAGCACGTCTCCACACAGTAAACAAAACAAGCGTTTCCTAGCAACGACAACTAATGAGACAAGTAAATACACTTATGAGCTGCTTTTAACTTTCGCTGATAAAGACTGCTTCTCTCAAAGAGTATTTCTTTACACTGTTTTCTGCTGGCGCTTGAACACACTTTCCTTATTTTTTTCCACAACAAATGGCCAAGCAAGCGCAGACACTGACAAGATA